TTTATATGCTCGGTAAAATACATTCTTATGTTACAAAATAAAATAAAATAAAATAAAAATACATTCTTATGTCCTGTGTTGGCAACTCAATCGATAGAAATTAATGACACGTAGAGAGAATAAAAGGGCACAACCCCGTAAATGTTCTATCTCCACCAAAATAGGTTTTAGAACATAATAAATAAATAAATTCACTTTTTTTAAATACACTCTAAAATCTCCATTAATTATTTTCTATTCCCCTCATACTTCATTCGAATCATCAAACGCAGTGAAGATTTGAAAGGATAATAAATATATCTTTTTTTTTGTTTTTTTGTTTTAGTAAAAAAAAGTTTAAGTGGGGTTAGACACCGGTATCCCACTAGGGTCAGGGAAGACTCCCCCAACTTCTTTGAGAATTTCTGGGAGGAATTATATATCACTCATCAACAAAGTCCTCACATCGACCAGTGGAGATTGAACCCACGCCCTTGAGTAGTAATAATAAATATATCTTTATATGATAAAATTGAGTCTCCCTTTTTTAGGGTTGTCTAAGTTTTTATTGTACCATTTTTCCTTCTTAAAGACATGTAACTTTAGCGTCGTTTAGCATTAATATTTTAAGAATTTAAATATAATATATATGTTTATATATATTCTTAAAATATTAATTACAAATAAAATTTTCTTTTTACATTAAAATTTGTTCTTTGTTTACAAAATCCATCTGCATATATTTTCAAAATTTATACCCTTAGTTTAAATTTTATCTAAATTTAAAATACCCTTAGGATACACATTATACTTGTTGGTTACTTCATGTTCAATTGAGAGTAGTTTTTAATAAGACCTTATTAAACATTTTTCCAGTTAGAATTTAATTTTTTATTTAGAAAGTAAATGAAATTTTTTGTTTAGAAGATAAATCAATTTTGATAATTGCATATTTTTCTCGTGATTCTGGTTTCTAATTTTTAGCCTTTCCTGTCATTAAATGATATTAAATGTAAATCAATTTTGATAAGTGTATATTTTCCTCTTATATCTCTTTTTAACATGACCATGTGACAAATCTCAATATTTTATTTTTAGATAATAATCAGCGATAAAAATAATCATGTTCTCATCTTTAATTTATAAACTTTGTCATTAAGATTGTGATCGTTCATATGTTAATAAATATCTGACATTTTTTATATGACTTGTCACGTGAAAAAAGAGACATGAGCACCCTCAATGAGGTTCTTCTAATTTAAATGTTTAATTAAAAATAAAAATAAAAGAGAGAGACATGAGCATGCATTTCCATTTTTTTAGAGTTATTACTTGCATTTCATTATACTCTGTTCCTATTAAAAAACAAAACACGTCTTGAAAAACACCCATTTCAACTTTATTTTGTGTAATTTATTCCTAAATTATGCTTGGGTGAATTTACTCCTAGGCATGTTTGTTTAGGCTTTTACCCAACAGAAAAAACAAAAAATAAAACAAAATAAAAATTTCTTGTGCCTTCCAAGGTGGTGAACATTGATTTATAACATAATCATATTTACCATTAAATTATTATTTTTAATATAAATCAGGATATCCTTCAACTGATAGTTGAAGAGTAATTCCCTTAAGGTGTAGAGATAACTGAAGAGAGTTTTGCCTTTATCAACAAAGCATTTTTCATACACACTGCCTGTGTATTGTAATTATAAGAAAATGCTTGCTTTTTTTTTTCGGTAAATAAAAGGGCGAGGGGCTCAAACAAAAAGGAAGAAAAACATAAACAAAAACTAATCAAGAAATACTAAAGACTCACTCCCTCCTTACAGAGGCAAGATCAATCTGATATAACAATAGTATACCACTCGGAGGTTCCACAAATACCATCTGGTCCGCAAGATCATTGACATTAAGGATGTAGTTTGCCAACCTATCTGCGCACATATTTTCTTCTTTATATGTATGTTGCAAATGAACCTGCCAATTTTTTTCTAATCCATGTCTGTATACGAGCAACAAGTTGAAGCTCACCGAAGTGAGCACAATGATTGCACTTGAAGAATCACTTTCTACGATAACATTATTAAATCCTTCATTCCAAGCCAACTCCAACCCACAGAGAATGCCCCATAATTCAGCTTTAAATGAGGAGCATACCCCCAATCTAACTGCAAACCCATTCAGCCACTCGAGTCACATAACACACCACCACAAGCCGGTTGCCCTGAGTTGCCACGTGCTGCACCATCAATATTGATTTTGACTACCCCAGGCTCTGGGAATTGCCAATAAACATTAGAACAAACTTTACCAACACCAGATATCATGCTTCCTCTATCTTCCATTGTTCATTACACCTGTACAGCCAAATCGGTAATCGTTTGATATTTTATGTCCAGAGGGGTAGTCCCCTCCCCATGCTTGGCTATGTTCCTCCAATGCCAAAGTTTCCAGCATGTTACAAGAAAAATGGTTAACCATGGGACTATCGAATGACCATCCATTCCTCTATTGATGTTTACTGCCAGCCACTAGATAATTCCCTAGAGAGAAAAATTGAACCTTGGAGGCTAGGATCAATCTTCAGCCACAACTAATGAGTCTCTCTACAGTCCATTAGTACGTGTAAGATTGTCTCTTCTTCAACATTGTAGCAACTTAGCAAGGACACCTCAGATCACTCCTCCCCCAATGAGCCAACCTTGCATTTGTCAAAAGTCTATGATGTAGCGTCTTCCACATAAAAATCTTTATTTTCTGCGACCCCTTCCAATCCCACAAAGATTTCCAAACTCTCCTATCATCCTCATCAACCCTTATGTAACTTGATAAATAATGATAGATATCACTGACAGAAACTGATGAGGACCCAGAAAACACACTCTTATGTCCGATCCATCCTCTAATGAAGGAGGAAGAGTATTACATATTATATCAATTGCATTTAACGGAAACCATTGTTTAAGTAGATCTAAATTCCACTCACCGGTTGACATCACCATATTTGAAACTGTAGAGTTGAAATCTAAAACCAAGTTATTATTTACAATTATCTTCTGTAGAGGCCCATAGTCAGCTAACCATTTGTCTTTCCAAAAGAGCACACCTTCCCTACTGCCAAGCACCCACTTGAGCTGATCCTCCAATGCACCCCAGACCCTACACAAAATTTTCCACAAATTAGAGTCTCCACCCCTATCTATAACCGGTTGTTGTCTCCTTCCATTTGACACATATTTAGCATGCAAAACTCAGGCCCATAACTAATGTGGTTCAAAAAAAAAAATTCAAACTCTTTTTGCTAGAAAAGCATCATTCATATGATTCAGCCTTTTCAAACCCAATCCTTCATCTATCCTTGGAGAGGTTATTACCTCCCAGCTGATATGATGATTTCTCCTTTTATCATTATTATCTCCCTAAATGAAGCTCTTCTGCAGCTTCTCAATGTCTTCACAAGTAGACAAATGAAATTTACAAATATGCATTTGGAAGTAAGGTAGTGCAGCCAATACTGACTGAGAAAGGGTGATACGGCCTGCTTGTGAGAGGCATTGCTTTGGCCAATTATTCATTTTGTCTCTAACTCTATCAACAATACCTTCATATAAACTTCTCGTCACTCGACCATGCTGCATTATGGAACCAAGATACCTCCCAACATTCCTAACTCTTTTGAAGCCACTAGAATCAAAAGAAAAATATATGAGTCTACTTATTAACCACTGCAAATAAAAATGCTTGCTTTTTATTTGCTTGGAATGGTGATTTATATCCAAAAATATGAGTCCTTGCTTGCTTTTTATTTGCTTGGACTGGTGATTTATATCCAGAAATATGAGTCCTTATTACCTGTATAATTACTAGATTTATAGGATAAAAATCATATCCATATACATATATATATATATATATATATATATATATATATATATATATATATATATATATATAATGTTAATGAGTTTCCTTGTTTTTTTTGTAAAGAATTAGTCGAGTTTTTTTTTTTATATGAATCAAATTTAGCTAAATCTTTATTTTGAGCCATATGACTTTTATTGATTTTACCTCTTCATTTTTGTAGTACTAATATAGACCACCTGCTATGAGATAAATCATATTCATAATTACTCATTAACCAATTTGCCCATTAATTCATTACAGAATCGGGAGAGTTTTAATAACTCAGTTATTTATCAATTGTGCCAGGCTTTGTTAGTACCATTAAATTAACTTTAAAATATTAATAAAATTTGAATTTAAACCAATAAATATTACTCTCAAAATAGGTAACTACTTTCCTTAAAACACACCATTTATTATTATAACTTATCAATTCGCACAAAATTTCTGACTAATAACAAAGATATTATAATTTATCTCCCTTAATTTCTTTATTACTTCAATTTACCCATAATACATTAATGAAAAAAAATACTCCCCCACTAAATCTCAACTAATGAGAACAAGAATAAGAACATTCCTTATTTGCAACCTTACTTTAGTATATTTACAAAAAAGACTATTTTCTCATTTTGAACATTATTTTAGAAAAAAGGTGTGGAATATACAATTGTTTTTGAAAAAAAGGTCTGTAAAAAAGTATAAGTATATACAATCTTGATTTAATCTACAGAACATGATGATCTTATTCTAAATAATTTAAGAATAAAAACACCTTTATTTATTCACTCACCTTAAAAATAAACCCACTTTAAGTAAGTTTTTTCCGTGATTTTAGCACTGATAAAGAGAGCTAAATTTCACATTCAGATAGATTGAAAGCAAATTGCATTACTTTAAAGTCTAGGGGATAAATTGCACACACAGTTGAAGATCTTTTGTTTTAAAGCCTTAATCCTGGACCTGCCCCGAATCGGATTAGTTGCAAAGCAATAAACCGATTGGAATATTCCAAAAAAAGAAGAAGATCTTTTGTTTTTGTTTTTCAAAATAATCCCCCCTTGTAAAAATGAATTGCAGCTTCATTAATTGAATTCTTAACAGTATTCACATGGAGGAAATTTTACAAATGAAGATTAACAACACTGCAGTTAGGGGGGAAAAACCAGTTTTGGCACCTAATCACACACCATATGGCCTATTTTAAAAATACCATAAAAAAAATGGAAAATTGGCAGCAGTGAATATTCACAGAAAGCTAGCGCCAAATGAAAACTTTTGCTGCTTTCCATTAATTGTACACATTACCCTAAGCAGAAGTCTTGGGTATCTTGAATTGTTTCTTCACAAATTGAGAGGCTTCTGAGTCACTTCTATGGCATAATATTCTTAACAGGGTTTTGGAATCAGCTCCTAGTTTGCTTTTGCCACCTTGCATTTCCATGCCACTTGCAGATTTCAAGTCTTCAATCAACTCTCGAGTCTGCAAAATAATACATATTATATACATTCTGAGGAATTGTTGTTGCAAAAAAAAAAAATGAGCATCTCGTTTACAAGAGAAAGTAAATATGATCACGAATTCGACAACAAACTTGGGCAATCAGAACACAATCATTAATCACAAGCAAGGCCATATGATATGGCTAAGGCTATGGGATACCTTGCTAATCCAACAACAACTTTCAGCCTGTCATCTATATGCTGGTTAGTAGGTTATATTTGTGCAGATAAAGAAGTAGGTGAACTAACCTCATAGCCATGCAACTTGATCACATGCCGGACTCGTGCAACCTGATTTTCGACAACACCGCGGGGAAGCCCATCACCTCCTGATATAAAGAATTCCTGCAAGATGCATCCGCAATGAAGCTAAATCTGGGGTATACTTCAGGTACTAAAGCTTTCAATTTTTTGAAATATATATTTGGGACATATCCTACTTATATCGCGCGACTCTGATTTACTAGTTATGTGAGCCATTAGATGCATTTGGGATTAATGGCTAATATTGGGTGCAAGACTTCTTATTTTTTCATCGGTATAAATTGATCGTGCCTGATGCACTTGAGCTGACTGATTTGGATTGGGCTTTTCCGTAGTTTAGGGCTTTTCAATAATTATTAATTATTTTCCTTTTTGTTATTTTTAGATTACGTTTCAACGTGTGTTGATTGTGCGTTATCTCCTTTGATTGCGCATGATTATAGTTCTTTACTTTTTTGTTATTTTTATTTTGCCTATTTAAGGCTTAGAGAACCCTATTGTTAGGAAGTTGTTTTTGGTTTAATAAAATTAAGAAAAGAGAAATAGTATTTTCTCGCAATCCTTGTTTCGTTCTTCTTTCTGTTTAGCCAATTGGTTAGTGCTTCGGCATCATTTGGTATCAGAGCACTAGGTTGCAGAATCGTGGAGGTCGACGACGACAGAGTCACAAGGGTAGGGAACGTGGATTCGTTCTTGAAGAATATAGACAACTGCGTCAGATTGACCCGCGAGACAGAGAAAATGAAGAGCTCGGAAGGCGGATCCAGGATTTGAAGCAACAACTTGAGCAAGCGTTGGATAAGAAAATCCAAGTTTCGAAGCGACTATGTGTGCGGGCACAGAGAAAGAGGATTCAAGATTTGTAGCGACGACTTGTGCAGGTATGCATGAAAATTCAAATTTTGAAGCAAACTCATGTGGAGGTGCAGGCATGGAAATTCAATATTTGGAGCGACGACTTGCGTGGACAAAGTTGGGCATTCAATCCGAAGAAGGAATGGAATTAGATGACGCATCTGATGATGATGAAGAGGACGTCAATCCCTTGAAGATACTAAACCAGGGATAGAATTGGGAAGTACGACCTGGAAATCAGTCCACTTTTCAAGATATCGATATGCAAATCAGCATTCCTGACTTTCATGTCTATGATCATAATCCAGTTTGTGATGATGATCCGATCTATGATGATGATCTGATCTATGATGATTATCCGATTGTTGATAATTATCCCATTTATGATGATTATCCATCTTATAACGAAGATTCAATTTATAATGATAATCCAATCTATAATAAATCTGATGGTGAATCAGATTATGAAGATCTAATAGAGGAAGATTTATCATTTGAATTTTTGTCTAAAGAAATTCAGATCAATGGAGATAAACAAGATTCGAGGACGAATCTTTTCCTAGTAGGGGAAAATGATGCACTTACAGTTGGCCCATTGTACATGACCCAACCATTGATTCAAGAAGTTCGTAGTCGACTAGAGTTGTGGTCCAATAAGAATGACCCAATTGTTGAAAAAGACAATGATTTGAAATATAACAAATTACAATCGAATCCAAGTCTCAATAAAACAGCAGATGTGATTGTGATTTGTTTGGAAAGAAAAGGAAAGAAACACATTTGGCGTGATTTGAGATTAAAGATTTGGGATGTATTTTGAATTTTTTATTTGTAATTTTTTATTTTTTTTAGATGTTAATTATTGTTATATTTATTTTAGGAAGTTTTATTTTAGAATTTTAGATTTAAATTTTTGAATCAATTTGTAATTAATCTATAAAAGGGTGCTTAGACCCTTATTCTAGGAGTTGAATATTATTATTTTGTTAATTGAAATTGAGAACCGGAGGGTTACTCTTTTGAGAAAATCTCAACTTTCTGTTTAGCCACTTTTCTATGCGCTTTCGGCATCAGTGTCCCTCTATATATATCCTTTTCTTCATTGGCAAGTCAAGCTTAACCATTCGCTGACATTGAACCATTAGTCTACTTAAACTCTCTTTTTTATTAAAAAGAGCAATAAATTCCAAAGATCTGATTAGCCTGTTGCAAATTATAGATACAGTTTCCTTTTGGCATTAAAATGACTAGAGTAAGATACCTTTAGGACCTCCAGATCTTCTTCTAAAAATCTTGCATCAGCGGCACTGAAAACTCTTGAAGGACCCCCATCTAAGATAACACGGAGCAAGCCATCCTGGCAAGTGGGAAAATGTTAAGATCAAAATACTAGTAATGAATTTATCAAAAGCAAGACTAAGGTACCAACCAATGATGCCTGAAGAAGACTTGTCACTATGCGATCCCTGAGAGGCTCCACAACAATATCACAAAGTTGGCCAAGTTGCTACAATATGTGAAAAGTGAAAAGCACATGATCAAAATTAAATTACATAGAAGTTTCAGATTTTCAAGTGAATCCACATATCATATGGTGAGTGGTGTAATAAGTACTTCTTAATACTAATGGAGCTTCCAATATCTACAGGTGCAATTGGTTGAATAAGAAAGTGATACAAGCAATAGTCATAAGCATCAGACTCATGAGCCACTAGGATAAACGCATTTTCTATTTATTTTTTTATCAATACTATCAAAAAGAGAAAACCCCATCATATTCATATTTAACTTAACACTTTACAGTAATAGGGAAAACAATCAAAAATGTGATATTTAACAATATATTAAGGGTTCACAAAGATACTAAAAACCTAAACTGCACGGTAAATCAAACAGAATTGAACCTTAAAAAACTAAACCATATAACTCAGTTTTATCCAATTTGTTATTTTTTTCTTCTCTAACAGGTGCAGTTAGCTTCTATTAAAACCCAGTGAAGTTTTCAGTTAAAGCCTATTTAAATTACCTAAATAAATGATTATTTGACTTTGGCAATGCGCCAAAAATTCCAACAATTATCCAGACGAGCAAAATGATGACGATTCACACCACAAAACCCAATTCAAAACCCTAATTCATCATAATCCTCCTGCCCCCACTTCCTCCTCGATTTTTACAATGCTCCAAGGTGGACAATATCACTTTTGCACTCATGTCGCTCAAGGTCTACAAAAAGCTCTGGGTCCCTCCCAACCTTATGCCAAGGACGACATCACACAAGGCATTCGCAACGATGAGCTGAGTTTCATTGAACACACTACCATCAAGCACTTCCTCTTCCCTGGCGATGGAATTGGCCTCTGGTCATCAATGTTATGGAGCAGGTGATGAACTAGGTGACGCGCACGCATGAGGTGATCGTGCCTTTCCTATTCACCTTGTTGGGAAGAACAAGTGTGCATAAGAGGTGATTGGGCGGTTTGCTTGAAGAATGTCGGTGTTCACCTTGGTTGACCCCAGCAGTGTTATGACTTGTTGAAATTATAGGGATTTAGGTAGGGAGGTAAGAAAAGAAAGAATAAAGACTGAATAATCTGAAATTGATATAGATTTGATATGAAGGATGTGTTATGATAATTTGTACAAACTACAAAGTACTAATTCCTGTTACAGGAATATTTGACTCCAAATCCTAATTAAATAAGGAAACAAATAATGAATTATATAGAAATAAGAAAACTATTCCTAAGAGATCTTTTAAGATACTCTGAACTATTCTATTATACAATTAAGATATTATGAGATATTTTTCAAATATTCTAACCACGTCAGAGCATAGGAACCTGCGGCAGAAGGAGCTTTGCTAATGAATTGTTTCTAGGCAGCTTTGAGGTAAACCAAACCTAAAGAACTGGTTCTGAGGTTCAGTTTTTCATCTGTTAAAAGGTCAACCAAACCCCAAAGAATTGTTTTGGACTTATGCTCCTAATCCAATCTGAACCAGATTCCTAGTTTCTTTTGAGGTTCATTTTGGTTTTTCAAACCAAACTGCATTCTGCCCACCCCTGTTATACCCAAATTTGAATCTGAATATCATCTGATAACATAAGTGGGGAGAGTAGCTGAATGAGAATGATGCAATATGTGATTTTGCTTTTGGTATCAAATATTTTTTACATATTGTATTTGCAAATTAAAAGCAAACCGACAAGTACAAGTGTACAACATAAAATAATGACATCTTTATATTGAGACAAGCATTACCATATCAAGTGGTTCTATAAGTGCATCTACCCTAGAGCCTGAGACACTGGGTCTATACAAGTTGTCCATTAATGGTACTCTCAGATCCCAGAAGACTATTTTAGTTCCTGCAATTTGATAATTAACCCAATAAAGTAATTAGAAAAGTTTGATTTGCAAGGGAAGATGTTAGGTTCAAGATTCTCACCAGTGTACTCACAAATGTGATCCATAGCAGCATTTATAACTTTTCTACTGCCATCAAAGGTATCTTTTTGGGAAAAACTTTTGGAGTTCTCATCCAAGGATTTCTCTATAGACAAAAGGATAGTAGAAGTGTTAAAATTATTCAGTTTTCAGTATTCTAATCAATTAGGAAATTCATTTTTGAGAAAGCAAGATATAAAGAGAGGAAACAAATGGAACATCAACAGAAACATTCACATGTATTATGTACATGGTAACCGTTGAAGAGATCAATATCAGTGGTAATAACAAACTTGTTATGCATAATCATGATTGAATCAACAAATCAGAGAAATCACATGTTCCATTGAGTGGTTGATTCATATCTAGCATAGCGATACTGAACTTTCTTTATTTCAATAAGAGAAATTTCATTAGACAGACAAAAGAAAAGCACAAATTTTACAGACATTGGAAGATAAGACACAACACAAAAAGTACTTTATGATGAATGCCCCTCACTGTTCATACAAGGCCTCATGGTTATTTAATTCTACCCACTGACAGAGGTGAGGAAAAATAAAAATTTCACTTTCTTGTTTTTTCATTTTTCTGCTTGTGGTGACAGAGGCTTACAAATGCAACAAAGCTGTCTAATTTCTCTGCCTATCAGTGATGTATGTTTCCTTTAACCAATCAAGAGAAAAGCACCAAAGAGAATGCATGTCCTATACCATAACAATGTAACAGCAAAGAGACAACCTCAAAATTATCGGCCTTCCTCTTGAACCAAATACACCATAGAACCACAAAAATAAGTAAATAAATAGAAAATAATTAAAAAATTCAAAAAATCAAGTAAATATTTTCTCCTTTTTCACGTTTTGATAAATCAAGCTGGAACATGACTTTGCAATGGATAAAACCATATCATGTGTTAAAGAATAATATAAACTATTAAAAAGTCCTCACCTACCAGCTTAAGCTTTTAGGTTGAATTGATTCTTTATATCATGTAACCATACAAAACTAATGCAAGAATAACAGTTCATCACGTACTTATGAGTTTTTCCTTGGATCGTTTGGTTGTCCATCGCTCCCAAATGTTATCTTCCAATTTATTCAGATGAATAATCGCATACTGTAGATGGAAGAAAAATTTATATTAACTTAATGCTACAAGATGATGAAAGAAGATTCGGCACATGCTGCACCAATATTAAGATAAGTATCAAAACAGAAATTTATTTAGAAAAAAAATTGGCAATCTCAACAGATGACTTGATCAATGAAGTTGCTTGCTACTAATTCGGTGTTGATTATTAGAAACATACATGCCTTAGGAAAAGAAATTTCCTCAGTCATCAAGAGAAATACATTTTGAATGATACGGCATCACTTTTAGACTCTGCAAGTGGTAACCCCATATATCCAATTTCCATCTCGTTAGTAATCGCAGCAAAGTTTTGGTTCCACCTTAATACCTAATAAGGCCAGTTATTCAATGGTCTAGGGCTAGGCTGCATACTAAGAATCTTACCACACAAAAGAGAAGTGGGAAAAATGCCCACAAATGTGTTATCTTCCAATTATTGAGATTGTCCAAGAAAATAATGTTTAAAACAATCCTCTAAAACCAGTATATCATTCACTTGAATCAATTTAATGATTAGCTAAATTCTTGAGTTTTTGCTTGAGAGAAAGAAATTAGAACATCAAGCAGTATATAATGGTATTTAAGGAGAAAGAAGAGAAATGGCCTTCAACTTGTTACATTTACTGGTTTCATATCTTAAGAGGGATTTATTTGTTCTTTTAAATTAAGGATTCTTGGTTTGATCTAACTACTCTGACCAAAAGTCTTTACAATCATTTTCGCATGCTTTGTTTTTAAAAGACAAGATTTTTTTTAGAAAGGGTTTAACATTCCTAATGTGTTTGGTTTCTTTTCCTTTTCTTCTTCCTCCCAATCGTGTTAAATTTTCACCCTATATACAGTCCTTTATGAAGCAGGTACCAGTACATGAAGACATAAGCTTAAAGAACCAAATATCTAATTAATTTCACTTTAATTTCATTAATTTGATATTGGGAACAATTGTAATATAGCATATACCTTATAAATCATAATTTATTAGGTTTCTTAGCTTAGTAATTTGTTATATTAGTTGATTAGATATTTTCTGGTCCAAGGTGAATTCTAGTAATTATATGGTTAGGTTTTGTGTCAATGTATAGTAATTTATTTATAAATGTTTCTATCTGTTATTTGGGCTCCATTTATTTTATTGGTGGTGGTTATTTAACTTGTGTTGAGATATATAAAACCATTAATGTATCCTCACCCAATAGCTTAAGCTTTTGGGTTGAATTGGTTCTTTACATGGTATCAGAGTCTCGTGTCCCGGGTTCGATCCTCACCGCCCCCCACTTTCTTTGTAGTGGAATTTCTTTCTTCGCACAGGTAGGTGGGCTTGTGCATTGTCCACCCTTCAAGCCCAGTGGGCTCTCGTGTGAGGGGGCGTGTTGAGATATATAAAACCATTAAAAAAGCCCTCACCCACTAGCTTAAGCTTTTGGGTTGAATTGGTTCTTAACAACTTGGACCTCAAGTGGTTACTCACTGACCACTCTTGGGGCTCCATTTTTGTAATTCTTCCTTCTTTTTATAAATTTTATTCTGTTTTCTTTCTTTCATTTGTTTTAGGGTGAGATGGGGACTTGAGAGGGAAGGTTCTTGAGTGCTGGATCCCACTCCTTTCATTCACCCATAACCACCTTAACCTCCAGTATTGCTTGTGCTATTTTATCAGTTTTAAAGATCTAATTATATTCATGCATAGTTCGAAACAAAAACGAAATAAAAACCCTCAGTTCAAACTATATGGATTATGGATTCATATCATATTCCCATAGCCAATTATTTCAGCCACCTAATATTAGTTAGGCTAATCACAAATAAAAGACTGTCAATCATTGACAGTGAATCTTTTAAAATCTTAATGACACAAATTTTAAATTTATAATCCATATCCTGAAAGATTTTACAGCTTATGATGATCCCCAGTGAAGACAGTACCAACAACTGTTTCCTCATGATTGGATCTCTGACTACTTGAAATGCTCCAAAATCCAATTGAGCATCATCTCCTTAGGATTTAACAATTTGAATATAATATTTCACCGGCATCCATTAATGAATTACTATAAGAAGCATGCCATCCTTTTATAGGGATGTCAAAAATTTGAATATAATGTCAATAAAGGACAAAGCTAGTAAAAAGTTTAAGAAATAAAAATACTTTTAGCCCAGAACGAAATATGCCAATCCAAATATATCATGATAAGAAACAGAGGCTCATTAAAAAGGTAGCTTGAAATGAAAAAAGAAAAAGAGATATTATCATAACCACAGAAACAAAAGTGAAAATAATCAAGGAACAATTTGAGTTTGCTTGAACTCACATATAAAGTATTTAATTGAACACAAAGGATTGGAGTTGTTAGGACACTAATTTCGCTGGGCCTTGTCTCGTCAGGTACCCGAGCATCAAATAGTTCCTTCCGTACAAAAGCTTTTATTCCAGCTTCTTTTTTGAATCGCGTGAGAATAGGCACAGGTGGTATCAAATCCTCCTTGCTTGCTGTGTAATTAAGAGGGTAGTTTAGGATTTATACAAATACGCATATTTCTTACCAGAGGATGACAAAATTGATATATCAGGAAGTCTGATGAGACCATTAGAATCATATGCACTAAAAGAAATATAAGATTAAACCATCTACTAAATAAGATATATTAAGCAATTGGCAACAGTAAGGATGTAGGTAATACACTAATACTCGCAGTAAAAAGATTGCAACTTCAACACCGAATTTTAAGATGCACCAAACAAAAATTTCACCACATCACCCTGATATGGATATTAATTCTTTTATTGGGCCATTTGATATGGACATTACTGAGTGACTAAGACTTAAAAAGGAGCTTTATACTTTAATTTTCTATTATGCACTACACAATTCCAAACTTGCTAAGAAGCCTAGTATAGTTATCATGGTAATAAGAAGGAATTTTCATCAAGTTACGACCATAATTATAACCTATTTATTATTGATAAGACAGCATAATAATTAAAAGGTAGTTAAAATTATTCATAGTTACGAAGACTAAAGATGCCAAAAACCTCCTTAAAGATACCGTCATATAACAAGAGTAGATCTAAATCCCTATGTTAGAAATAATTATCAGACTCTTGTGGACAGCAGATCCCCAGTTCCTTCATTAAATTTTGTCCAATGACATCTGTCAGCAAACCAAAATATGTAGTATATACTCACCCAAGTCATTAACAACATGATTAGCATATACTTGAAGAGCATTGTCAATCCCACGGAACAAGCTATTCAGTTCTGTAATCCTCATTGGAACTTTAAGAGCAAAAAATTGATCAACTGTCTGCACCCAATAAAATACAAAATGAATTGAACGTGCAGTAGAGAGCAAGACATACAGAACGAAAAAATAATAAAGATAAAATAGTTCATTGTCAACGGCAGGATGGAGAAACATTTAAAAACAAAGATGTCAAATCTGATGTAAATCAGGGAACAATATTAAGGGATTTGGTTCAATTATGAGAGCTCAATCAAAGGAATTCAAGGAAGCACTTGGCACTCAAAGGGCTGATTCAAAAAATTTCATCTAAATCAAATTTATGGCCCATATTTTCAAAAAAATTGGCTTCAAAATATTTGGCATATTCTTGCAAGATAAGATTTAGGATGTGTTTTATTGTAACCTCTCATTTGTTGATTAATTAAGTCAAATACACTTTTTCCATACTTATAATAAATCATAGGAAGATTGCCACATTCTTACCTCCTCCACTATCCTGTAAACCTCCACAATAGAACCAGCATGCCGCTGCTGAGGAGATATTGGGTCCCAATGCTGTGAAAGTATATTAACAAATTATTAAAACATTTGTACAGTGAAGAAGCTTAAAAGAAGCAGGATACAAGACGAAGAGACCTTACATAAGAAAAGAACTATACATAAATTGATAACTACAACATAGCAAAAGGAAAAAATTACTATAATATATTCTTATCTTGATTTATATTATCTTTAAAACTTTGATAAGTAAAATGATGTAAAATTACTTTTAATTATGTATATGTATATAAGAATGGGATGAGGTAGCATAAGTGTAAATCAAACTCAATCTTACACAAATAAATTTTTCATAGGATAAATAATAAATATTCACAAAACTCACTTCTAAATTGAAAGTTTGCATCATTTCCACCAAAAAAAAAGAAAGAAGAGAGTTTGCATCATAGACAACTTGCTCATGACATGAATGCTTACATTAATCCAGTATATTGTATTGTGGTATTCTATAAATATATCATAAAATTAATATGTAAAATACTTTTCAAAAGGAAATATCAACCATTTGATCGCATACTTATATTTATAGTTGTTTAATTTTTCTAATATTTGGCATGAAGATCTTCATGATACTTACAATTGAACAATCAAATTGATCAATCACTTTCTAGATAAAATTATTAGATTGTGTAAGTGTGCCAAGTCTTACTAAACCTATTCTGTTGGAAAAAGTTTGTTTAAAATTGAAAATATTGACACTTCAAAGTTAACAGTTTTGTTCAGTCCTCCAGTTTTACTCATTTTCTTTTCCCCCCATAATGTGAGGACATAATCCATCAAGGTTCATTAATGGGCCTAAAAATTAGTGGGTCAGTTAGTTAGTTATTCTAGAATATTCTAGTGAGTAGGATAAATGGTGAGTGAGTGTGTGTAGTGAGGTATGCATGTATTCAGTAGTGATTTAGTGGAAAAATTGAGAGACCTCTAGGGAACTCTTGAGCCTAGGTATTTGGTTTAAGGGGGAGCTGAGGCTTTCTTGGGGTTAATTTTCTGCATATTAGTGTATGTAAAAAGAGGCATGGCCTCCATTATCTCTATAATTTCCGTGTTATTTTTCTGGTTCCATCATTCATTAACTCCATTAGTCTTTTGGGATGTGTAACCCTTCATACATAATAATGGTATTATATATTTTATAGAGAAGTAAATATTACTAAAGACGTAAATACTAACATGAAGGCAAGAATAAAGTATCATCGAGAGCTGAACTGTTAGAGCAGATTGTGTTGGAAATAGTAATAGCACTTAGTGTTGTATGGGAAGTATTAGGATCATTAAATAGTCACTATTTCAAATAATTATTATATTCTTAAATAAGACACAAAGGACTTTGTTTCTTATTATATTTGTTTATAAAAAATGCAAAAATTTCAAACGGTAGCTCCTTCTTGCGTACCTTTTAAAAGACTTTCATATTATTTTTAATAGACTTCTTGAATATCATATTTTCCAAAATAGAGGGTATAAATTGCCGCTCCGCAACACTATATGTGATTACTACTATGACGCTAAATACACCAAATAAAATGTAGAAAATCTAAATATACAGTTCATATTATCAAAAAACAAACAACTGCTAAAAATGAACAATGAAAGATCTATTTCCCATCTAGTATGAGTGGCATTTGACAATAAAGTACTGTTGATATAGGGTTTACCTCCTGTTGAATAACCCGCTCTACCCAACCTAAAATTCTTCCAAGTTGCGAATTGACCCAACGTAACACCAATGTTCCAGATTTTGTCTCAATCTATAGCAAAAAAAAAATGATGACAAAAGTTTAGAATAAATAAAGATAGGAGGATAAATGACAAAAGACTATAATACTGAACCTACCTAAGAGTGGACAAAATTAAAAAACTATGTGAAACATCATGTAATTAACAACCTAAATGACAATAGAAAGCACACTAGTCACTAGATTATCCACATTATGCCCAGCAACTATCATCCGCAACATAGCATTTGACCAACAAATCAGGACCTGATCTGAACAAAAGAAAGCCTTTCACTTCTGAAGACATCTTTTTCTAATGAGTACAAGGATCATGCATATGGCACGTGTGAACAGGGTCCTACCATGTAAGTGATAGCAAGATATATCTGATTAAATATACAGGTAGGAAATCACTTTATATTTCTTCCAACTCTTTCCTCTTGTTGATACTTGATGTTAAGCATAGATAAAGACGAGATTGGGAGCAGCTACTATGTTTAGAGATAAGTTCCTTCTCAGTACCGAGGAAAAAGGAAAATAATTTCGTGTACTATAAAAGTAAACTAACCACCTAACCTGGTAGAGATTCAATTTCTTCAACAAGATCTCAGCATTTTCTTCTTGACATACAGAAGTAATAAGTGCCATTACGAACTGCTCTAGACTTTCAGCTGCTGGGAATACAGAAATGACATCCTCGGTTAAATGTTCTGCACCATCCAGAAAGGGTTTCTGAAAATGCAATCAAATATATTGTGTCATTTTAAAGACATTCCACACTATCAGAAAAAAAATATATAAACAAATCATATATACACTCACTAGTCTGTGGCCATAAAGTTTGTGAACTAATGATGCAGATACAACAGTTGCTTGAGGATGCCTCTGAGATAAAACAGGCATGAAAGTTACTGAATCTTTTTTTAGGAGCTTCTTGAGTTCTTCTGCGAGCAATGCCAAAGGATGCTCATACGACGGATCTACTCTTTCAACAACTTGCACTGTCTGCAGAAAGTAAAGACATTCCTTAAAATAGGCATAAAATTGGCATACAAAAGCAGGCTCTTCCTATATCCTGTAGTTACAATCAAATGTTCCCATGCACATTCAAATCAAATGGTAGAATCAAGAAAAAGACATACAAACAATTTTAAGTACATCTTTGTTTTGGTTCTCAGATAATATATTTAAAGCTAAAGCCAAATTCCATCAAAATATAAATATAAAATGGTCATGTTTAAAAAAGTTCACTTTAAACACAAAAGATGTATAATCAATAATGATGAGCAGAAAGATTTGTGAGTTGCCTGTCATTTATCAGTCAAGTGGAAGATATTACTTGAATAACAAGTCAGGATTTCAATGCAGAAATAGAGCATGCAAGAATACTCACCCTTGTAAATACATTCTTAATTGATGATGATATATATAACTCTATCTGATCACGATCACTAATTGGCAAGGACTGCATGGTCTGCAGGAAAAAAGGTAAGACGAATTTTTCAATAAAAGAAATTTATGATCCTCCAGTAATATTGTTTAGAAAATGATCTATTAAAATGCAACAGATGTGATCAAACTAAATTACACACAGTTTCCGGTTCTTCCAGTAGAAGCCTCCTGGTAATCATTGCAACTGCTACAATCTTTTCCATTGTTGCTGAAGCCTAAAAGGTATATAAGTTTTGCAAAACAAAGTTAAAGGTGCAACTCCATATATTAGAACAAATAGGTAACAAATCAAAACAAGTTTTGAAGGGAAAATAAGAGGGGAAAGGATTCTAAGAGTATTTTGGGGGGGGGGGGGGGGGGGGGGGGAAAGAATAGCATACAATCACAAATTACAACAGTTAGCAATCAATTGAAATATCTAAATACATGATCAAATGATATATCTTGGCAACAGATGCAACAAGAATCCATTTCTCTTTAGTAAACCAAATTCAATGTCCTTGATGGATAGAATCAACAAGAACCCCCCCTCCCCCCCTTTTTTTCCCCCCAAAGTCTTCTTACAGAAACATTCTGGTGGCTTAGTACATTCACAAATGCAGGCCTAGATTCCAATTCAACTATTATATTAGATGTGAATTGTGCACTTCTTATATAGAAATTAATGCATCATAGGGCTTGAACATTTACTAAAAATAAGAAGGATGAGGAATATGCTTAAAACAGCCCATATCCAAAAAGAAAGATAATAACAAAATATTACTTGACAAAAGCTCTTCAACAATCAGGAAATTATTTATAGAAACATATCCAAGTATCTGATTCAGTAGTACCTAATAACCTAAACAGTTCAACAAACCTCATTGAAGTGCATATGGTAATCTCCAAGCAGCTTGTCAACCCATCTCTGAATTGGTGTTAAGAAAGATTGTAAGAAAGACATATCCCGTTCACCCTCAACCTTGGAACGCAAGCTTTTCAAGTGCGACCTCTCTTGTTGACCTCGTTCTTCCATGAGAGGTATTTTCTTTAATTGCTCAATTGCATGCAGCAAAACTCCTTGCTCACTAGTGATAACATACTGTAACCCCACAATGAAATAACTTAACATTAAATAATGATTACGCAAGAAAAGTTGTGTCATATTGTTCAACAATACTAGCTAATCAAACAATATAGCGATAGCATAGGGAAAAAAAAAGTAAAGCAGCCACACAGAATTACAAATAGGCAGTTAGTCTTGGGTGAAGTGAAACATTAAGAATTAAATGGCTGTAGTCTATGGAGAGTAAAGCATAAAAGAGAAACCCACAGAAAAACAAGGCCTCACAATGGAACATAGGCAATTAGTCTTAGATGAGAACAAGATAGGTGTATCTTTCAGCTTATTTGTAAGTACAAATAAGTTGAGGCAATCGACAACAATACAGTACAGCAGTCCAAGTGTCCAATTATAAAATTGACAGTGATTCTTAAAAATAAAATTCGGAGAGAAAATGTCGTGGCTATACCTGACGAAATAAAACCCATGCATAACAGGTGTGATGGATTGTCTCTGTGATTCCTAAAACTCGCCAAGTCGACTTCAAAAGTTCAAGAATTTCTTCCACTTCCTGCAAATAAGGTGAGCCACAGATGACACAGTTCAGATAATTCTCAAAAGTGACAATATTTCCTTTCTATTTTACTTAGTAGTTTCTCAAATCAAAGTTTCATTACAATTATTTGTTATCTTGATAAAATAGAATTTTATTGCAAGCGGCACATTGAAACTAAACACATGCTCCACAATAAACCTTTGTTTCCTTTCCCTTCACCTTAACAAAAATCATATGCATCAATTGCACAGCCCATGTACCCAGGATCCACAGATTACATAACTATTCACTTTTTAAAATTTGAGCAAACGAAAAACCAGGAAGCATAGCTTAGAAATAACAATTTAAGGATGTAATGGCTCAAACTATCATGCTATAATGGATCCCGAAAGTAAAAGACACCAACCTCTGTTAGCTTTCCCTCATCTAGCATGTCAAATACACTTAATAGTAATTTCTCATATAGTCTGATATTAAAGTGGTAACCATCTGCCCAATGGCATATTTCACCAGTTAAGTCACCCCGAGCTGGCCTCTCAGCAAGTGGAATGGCAATTTCTCTTAGAGATCTCAAGCATTCTGTCCTTTGAAGTTCACCAGTTGAAGATGGGAGAAACTAAAAAACAAATAAAACAAGTGAAATGAAACAAGTATAGTTATTAGAATCATGTTAGCCACTGCCAATCAGACATAATACAAAGGTAAGCCAGTTCTTGCGACCTAATGCCAATAGAAGATACAGTATTATATAAAACATCTGAATGGAGAATCACACACCTCAGATTCTTCAATCTTTGCCAAAAGAATCCTCAACTCATTTGTCTTGCGCCCAGATTCACCAAATCCAACGACAGGGTGATTAACAAGCCCCTCCTCCAAAACTTTTAACTGTGCTGACACAAATTTGGAAATGTCAACATAGACAAAATAATTATTAGATACCAGCATCCTCATCATTCCATCAACAGAATTACAAGTTACTAGAGTATATGAAAGAGAGTAAGGAATACACTAAAAAGGATTTCATTACCTGCCTCTTTTGCCACCGTATAAAAGCCTTCTTATCAGAAAATTCTGTGCGTGAGATACAGCAAAGCAACTCCAAAGGAATCAATAGAGTATCCATCCTTTTCCCCACCTTTCCCACAAGAGCATTTAGCAACCCTTGTCTTGTTCTAATATCCATTGAGTCAGATATCTGCATCCAGACATCTATAAATATGAATGCAGAAAACATAAGCAAACACAAATTCAAGATTTCGTTGGTTTCACGGATTACAAATGTTTGCTGTCTCATTCCAGGTAAATAATCATAAGATAGCTAACACGTGTCATCTGTAGAGACTAGAGAGCAAGTATAAACTTAGCTTTTGAACATAAATCTGTACACAAAGTAAGCTCACATTTTTGAGTCCAGAATAAGGAAAATTAAATGGAATCCAGAATGTATATTGAACTATCACAGATTCAAAACCTATATAGTCCAACGAGCCTAGGTTGAAATGGGGATCGATTCCCAATGAGTTTCACTTTACCTCCAAATTTAGCCTACTAAGTATTAGACCTCCTATAATCAACAACAACAAAACCCAAAAAAAGCAAAAACAAAACAAAAAAAAAATTATTATAACCCTATAACTCTTTGAAGAAGAAAGCTTCGTAGAAATAGACTATGATTGAACTCAGGTGCACTTATTTCTTAGAATCAAGTGCCAAGTATTACTTTAAAACATGGACCTGTAGACTTGAACCTTAACTAGCTACTTAATTTATTATAACAATAACAGACAAGGCTCCAGAATCCATCTTAAAAAATGCCAACCCAGCTTCTGAACCACCTCTGTCAGGAAAGGGGAAGCCACAGTATTATGATTATTTAACTGATATAATATTCATATAGAGAAAACAATGGTCCTTGCACATTAGAATAGTATACCAAGCTACATTGCAAAAATAAAAACATAATGGCGGAAAAGATCAGGGAAAGGACCGAAGAATCAAAGCATAAGTAAATGGAACCTGAACCCCTTGTATACCTCCATTTGCACACGCATGGTTTCCAACAAGCTAACTAATCCAGGAGCATTCTGAGACTGGGATACAACACTTCCACTTTTGCTGCGCCCAAGCTTCTTAAGCAAGCTGGATTTTTTATCTTTCTTTTTTTCTTTTGATGGGATAATTAGACCCCTGTTAAACAAGAAACAGATCAAAGATTTCACGTTTAAAAAGAATCCACTTATAAATCTTTTACAAGGAAAAGAGATCCCCTCAAACTAAACACATCATGATAGCATACCCTGAGGCTCCAGCACAAGCCAAGAGGATCTCATACGCAGTTTCACGGAGATCATCATCTGTGACGCCTACAAGCAGTAACACCACAAATTAGGAAGGTTCATGATAGCTTCAGTTTAAAACTTTCAATTCAAATTTGATGCATAAATCAACCAAAAGTTATATCTTATTATTTTTCTATAAAAGAAGAAATCATTATGTAAAACTGTCAAAGATTAGAACTACAAAGAAGTAGGATAAGTAATCCTATTAGAGCTACAAAAAATAAATAAAACCATCATACCAAAAGAGATCTCCAATCTCTGTGGATATCCATTATAGAAACACCCCATAAAACAACCATGGACAAACACCACATAGAAGCCAAGAAAACTACTCTGTCCCACAAAAGATGAGATGGGAAAAATTTCTGGTTAAGACATGTCCTTTACCCATACAAAGGCACAAGGGCAATCATAGAAATGCTATGCCCCTTAATGATACAGTTTTCCACCTTAGCAATGTCTTCTGTGACTCAGCAATCAGCAAATAGTGACATCATATACAAGAGGTTACCTTACCACAATTGCGTTCATTCAAGTTTCTTACGCATATGTCTCCCCATTTCCATGACTATTCCACATATTTAAAGTCAAAATACTATTCATCTGATAATATTTAGAATGCATAAGATTTGTGGGCATGCAAAGAACTTATCCAGAAGATAAGTTTTCTAGAATAATCACCTGTGGAAAAAGAAGGCAATTTCACTGCAAGATCAGAAGCATCATTTAGAGTCCTTTTAGCCCTGAAACTTTCGACCATTGCAGCAGCAGCATCATCGTCAAAGTCTTCAATGTCATCCACAGTTAGCTCCTTTTCATGCGCAGAGTCAAAAGACTCCGATCTTGATACATTAGAAACAATTGGAGATGGTGGAAAAACAGGAGGTGGAGTGGAAACAGCGACAGTAGGAACTGCAGAAATAGGAACAGGTGGTGGTCCCCTTTTGGGAGGTGAACCTGAAGACTCAGGATCAGTGACCAAATAAAATTCACCAACTGAACCTGTATCACTCTGTTAAAGCCAGAAGCATTTAAAATTCAAACATAATCCTCACAAACAATTGAACAAAAGCTTTGACTGAATGGGGAGAGAACAGAACTTAGAAAGTATGACTGGAAATCATTAGCACAATAATTTTGAAGATGCATCATATTCATAGCATGTACTATAAAAGGACAGACCAGACATAACATGTTTAAAGAGACAAAATGCAGCAATATGGTAAGAAACTAAAAGTTATGGTGGTATACGATTGTTATCAGAAAGGGCACAAACCAAATCAGTACATCATTTATAATACTTAAATGTGTATAAGTGAACATGCATACACAAATGCACAAGTGACAAAAATAGATCAAAACATATAAAAAAAAATCATTACATACCATTTGCGGTAACCCAGTATGATCATGATAATCTCTAATTGCTTCTGAAAGCTCAAGCATTACACCTACATAGAAGAATACATAATTAAGACAAGTAAAGCAAAACAATAAATAGAAAAGGATTAAAAGCAAGGAAAAGGACCAAATTCAACTCACTCTTTTTGGCACAGCTGAGAACATAATCAACACTGACTTGATCTAGATCCACATCATCCAGCGTAACAGCACCAGGTGGCATTACAACTTTCTTGATTAAGCTCCCTGAAAGTATAAAATCAAGAAGCACTCTCCTGTCCCTTCTGTATCTCTGGAGAAGCTCTATGGCATTCTCTCTGAAATTCATCAAATCAACAAAAGTAAGGGTCACATACTAACTTCACTTAGCAGAATTTGGGTACCAGAAATCTAACAAGTAGTGAAAGAACAAATAGAAACTTACTCTTCCATGGCTAATAAAGCTACAATTATATTGAACAGCAACCAACTTCAGTAATTGTGTGTTATTTCTGCATTATGAAGAGTTTAATAACAATTAAAACTAAAAGTAAAGATATTATGAAACACCCCCCAAAATAAATAAATAAAAAACATTGGTAAACTAAAATCATGCATTCCTAGTGTGAATCAAGGTCAGGCCTAAAAAACCCAGTTGCAGAAGAAGAAAAACAGCATTTGAGTTACTCAACAAAACACACGAGATCAGATTAGACCCAGTTCAGGTTGTTCAAGCATTTCATAAAAAAGCAAGCGAAAAACGAGAAATTTCAACAACAAAATTAGAACCCAAGTTTGATTTTGAAGTAGTTGCCCTTTCTTTACCCCAAACAGCAACCAAATCAAACAGAGCGTTACCTGAATGGATCTTGAGAATGGTAAGAATGGAAGAGAGAAGAAAAGTCAAATGGGTATGCAAATTGTATGCAAAAATTGAACCTTTTTGTTCACTTGAGTTGAGCTCTCAAAAGACTCGTAAGAGTGAAAGAAGCTATAGCAAAGGTGTTCAATTAATTTGGGATCCAATCCAAAGTTTATTCAATTTTTGTTATGAGAAAGCAAAAATTGCATGATTTTATTTAGGTGAGATTTAGATTAGAGGATTGACCCGTCGCTTAATTAAAAATCATTATATCAAATTAACTGCGTTAAAGCGACACTGCCGTTTTAATCTCGGAGCTTACTTATAACAAGTAACAAGAATAATGATTTCGAGTTCGAATCATATTCTATTAAAACTTGATACTTTTGTTATCTTTATAATTATGATTTATATAAATAATTGATGAATTAGTGAAGAAATAAAAAAAAATTATGATAAAAAAAAAAACAGTATAGAATAATTTCAAATTTCTAACCCACACTTGTTGAGAAGGGTCGCGTATTCCATCTTGTATAGGTATCTTAGTAGTTAAGGATTAAAAATTGATAAAAACAAGTATGTACAGTGCACAAATTTAAAATCTACAAGAAACATTAATGAGGTGTTTGGTTCATGAGATATTTTTGGTTCACCGGGGAAATATAATTACTAGGGATCTACAGGGAAAGTGAAATAGATAGGGAAGTTTAAAAAAAGTAGTTTGGTTGGACAAAATTTTACTGGGGAAATTTATGAAAGTGTATAGAACCTATGTTTGGTTGATGATAAAATTTGGATGGGTAAATAGAATGAAATGACAAATATAACCCCAATACAAATATGCTATTATGCGTACATGTGGCCAGTGTGTTCGCCATTTGTCATCCAAGTTCAAAAACGCAACGTCCTCCACGTGACCGTTTCGTCACTCCCCATCAAGTTCAATGCATTTCTTAAACCAGGCGAGGTGAAGTGGGAGCTTCGTCGGCTTGAGGTCCTCAACTCTCTGTGAACAGGCACAACCGAGGTTGGACATGACGGTGGTGTTGTTCAGTGAACGTTCCTGTGCAAGTTAGGGTTCCACTTGGTTCTTGGCACCATATTTGTTGGTAAGTCAAGTTAATCCTTCCTCATAGATGTAAAACATGTTGCCTTCCCTAAGCTTGTAAATCGTCTGCATTTCGTTTTGATTGTGTGTTGGAATGTTGTGGGTGTCAAACCTTTTTGAAATCGAAAGATTCTGTTGAAAATTGAGATTTATGTAAACCCAGCTGCTGATATATATATATATATATATACATATATATATATATATATATATATATATATATATATATATATATATTAATTGATTGTTACATTTACATCTTCGTTTCTGGCATGTGACCGATTTAAGTAAAATAAGTCGCTTGCAGGGTACAGTGATTTATTTATTGTTTTCTTGCAGCTGTATTTCTTCACATATTGACCAGCAAAAAGATATGAAAACAAGCCATTAAGAAGGAGAAAACCATGTTAAGTGGGTTGCATACATTGTTTTAATGTACTGCAGTCAAACGAACCTTACGCACTGACCAGCAAAAAGATTTGACATGTTGTTCGTGTGTATGAATATTTTGTATTATCTGACTGTCAATTTGTGACTTTATTCTAACTGACCGCAGTTTCAGTTCGCGACTAGTATGCAAGGGAGGAGACCATTATTTGAAGGAAGCATGGGTGGAAACGGATCTGGAATTGGTGGGTCTGAAAGCATAATTTCTGGGCATTCTTCATCGTTATACACATCGAGGGTGAAGATGTGCTACTGTGGAGTGCCGGCTGCATTGCGTACGTCTCATACGGCCAGAAATTATAAGAGACAGTTTTTTGGATGCCCTAACTTCAGGACAACGCAAGATTGTCATTTCTTTGAATGGTTTGAAGAACCCACCTGCCGGACTTGTGTGAAGAATGAAAATATGAATAAAAGATTAGTTGTTTTGGTTATTGTAATTGTCATAACTTTTGGGATTATTATGTGGAAAGCGATAAAATGTGGTTGAAGTGAAACAGTCATATGGGATGCTAAAGTGAAAGTGCATTTCCAAGTTGTAATGGTTTAGGGTTTGTTGTATATTTGTTGAACCTTCTATGACTATGGTTGTTAAGTATTATATTTGTTTGTATGCAACCTTGTTTTGGCCAGATTTTGTCAAATTTGTTGAATGGTATGAACCAGATTTTGTTATATTTGTTGTATGGATTGAACTGTGTGTGAGATGGTGTTTCAGGTTATGTGGTTTAAAATTGGGAAAATGGAGGATCAGGCAGTTTTAGATGGTGTTGGAAGAGAGGAAGAGGAAGATGAGTTTTGCAGTTGTTTTGACAATTATGATGAAGTATGCAAAGAAGTTCAGGAGGAAAATTTGAAGGATGAGCTTGATCAATTTTCAACACCCTGATCTGAAAGGGCTTGTCAATATCTGCGGTTGTCAATTCTGGTTCTGGGTTTTCTGGAATTGGAGGGTTCATGGAAAGAGCATCAAGTCTTCCTGTTATTCGGGTGCAGAAAAGGCTTGCTTTTTATGCAGAGGATCCACTTATTGACTACTTGATGATCATGGATGGTTTGCTGGAAGCTACGAGGAACAAGATCCGCAGGGTTTATGCTATTACAGATTCTGAGTTGTTGTACAATCAGGTTGGCATTTCAGTTTTTAGCATTATTCCTTTGTTTGATGAAGATCCAAGCAAACACTATAATGGGTATCTAACCAACTATATATATAGAGACATTCCCACTTTTGATTGGAGGTGTGGTAAAATTAGTAGCTCCTATGTCTTTGATTATTTAAACATGAAGTAATAACATTTCAGTAGAAAATATTTATGGTTCTCTGTCATCAGAAGCAACTGGTGCAGACAATGTGTTGGAGAAAAGTTTGATTGCTCCAGCCTCTGATGCAGCCAAAAGCCAAGACAACATTCCTATTGCACCAGCCTCTGATGCAGCCAAAAGTCAGACAACATTCCTCAAGCATCTGCTGAATTCATTGAAGAAATAACCAATCCAACTGAGTATATTCCTGTATTAGAATCAGAAGCAAAGTTAGTGAAAGAAATTGAATATTTGGAAACATGTTCCCAAAAAATAGACAAGCCTAAGCCTGAGCCTGCAGTTGCTGAAGTGCAGGAAAAATCAGAAGAACCAGGGAAGGATTCTCAAGAAAAATCACAACAAATTTAGTTACCAAACACAGTTGCAATTTCTGATCCCTCAGCTGAAACCAATGACACACCATATTTTGACCTCCCAAAAATATTTGCAATTTCTGACCCCTCACCCATTACTTAGGACAAGGAGTGCCAGTGATGGCATTGAGAATCCTGAGCTTGAGGTTCCACAAGTGCAGGAAAGGTCCAGAAGAACCAGTAAAGGGATCCCAAGAAAAACTACAAGTGGCTTAGCAGGAGGTGAAAGAGGCATTCAGAGTTAAAGACGTGGATCAGAATGGTTTAATTTCTGCTTCTGAGCTGCGCCATGTGATGACCAATCTTGGAGAGAAGGTCACTGATGATCATGTTGATGACATGAATCGAGAGGCTGATGTTCATGGTGATGGCAAAATAAATTATGATGAATTTGTTAAGGTGATGATGGCCAATTAATTACAAACTGAATGAGAATTTGGGGTTAAAATAGGACAGAGACAATTAGGACAAGGTTGACATTGTGTAGTACATCACCTAGTGGTAGCTTAATGTCAAAATTTTTCGTTCTACAGTGGTGGAATGATTTTTTTTTAGTTTGTCTTGTGACTGTGTCTCTCATGTTTTAATGTGCGGCGGTTCAGTTTGCTTTCTTCCACTCCTCAGTTTTGAACCCATGTAGAACTCTGCTTCCTGGAAAAATCAATCTTTAATGCTGATCCCAGTAACACAGTACTGAAGATTTCTTTTCCTTTTTCTGTTTGTGGCTGAAATTGTGATCTCAACTTATTTCATTAAGTGTTTACTTTATTCATTAATACAAACTCATGTCCTTAAGGATGTATTTTTTAGACAAAAACATGTGTAACATCAAATTCAAAAGCACTCCCAACTCGAGGTGAATCACGATGGATGGGAGTTGGTATGGTACTCATAAAGGACATCATATCCGGATTTATAAACCTTGTTGGTTGATATGTTTACTATATATGTTATAAAAAAACATTGAAAGAATAAACTAACAATGAATGATTGACAATATGGCTCATCTTGGCTGGTTGCAATCGAAAATTTGAGAAAGATTCACCACGATTAGCATACGATTATCATCAGAAATTCAAAGGTACTTTAAGCTTTCTGATCTCATAATACAACAGTGCAGATGTTAAACATTATCAATGACATGTGTAACAACACTTAAATTACAACATAATCAATTTCCCAATATATGAGCTTCATTCCAAAGCACAATGAACATTGTCTACAACATACACTTGTAGTCAGTAGTCCAATGCACTCCCATTCTTGAAACAGCTTGACATTGAAGTTAGCCAACGTAGGGGTGGCACATGGCATACATGACAAATGATCCACAGCCAATTACACCACTGGATAGCCAATGTCATGTTGTGCAATCTGTCTCCACATTTGTTGTCCTTCTTTACTGGTATCTGCATATATAAACACTTAAATTACCATGCTGTTATGTTCACAGGACCAATGACATGGTTGTATTTGACTAGAAAGTAGCACCAGAATAATATAAACATCATGTTTTTAGTAATATGAGCAGCTGTGCTTCAAAAACAGTAGCATTCAGGAATGGTATCTTTCCAACCATACACTCGCAGCATTCAATGTTTGTAGTCAGTAATTGGAGTGTTAAATCGAAAGGAACAATTCAATGTTATTTGCAGTCTGTTTATAAACATAGTGCATAACAGAAACTAATAAACAGTTTAAATATAATTAGAGAATGAGCTTCTACAATCAAAATTTAGCATACCTTTTCATTTATGTCCTTCTTGGAACCAGAAACAAAAAATTTTGAGTTAAAGAGCATCTACCGATTCTGAGTGATGCAATACCCAAAGTGTTGCTGTAAGCATGACTATGAACATGTTACTCATATTCCCTTGGCCAGGCCTACAAACCACTCTCCAAAAGCATCATAATTTACCTAACCAG